CACCTGAGTCAAGGGTGAAGGTGTGACAGGCCTCAGCCGGTGCGGTACCTGAGAGAGGAGTCTGTGTGGGTGCTGTACCTGAGAGAGCAGACTCGAAACCAGCCGGGACAGCACTGGGGGGAGCAAGTACAGGGGGCACCATACCAGAGAGAGCAGACTCACTAGTACCCAGGGCAGCGGGCTCTATACCTGGGTCAGGCGGCACACACAAGTAACAGTCTCCCTCGGCACTAACAGTCAATGCATACATGGCAGCAATAATAGCATCATAGTCAAGAGCAAAGACATCAACACCAGCCCTCATGAGCTCAGCCCAGCGGGGGCGCTCAACATCCGCACCCATCTCCTCACGCCAAGCGTCGTCAAGGCGGGAGAAACAGCGGTACGGGGTGTGGAACCTCCCACACGTCTGTCCCTTGCGGTCACCTGTGCGAATGACATAAGAACAGCGGGCACTGGCCCCCGACGTCCCACGCTGAGCAAGCCACTCACGAAGCTGCTGGGTCGTCTGGGGACGCTGCTGCTGCTGGGAGCTCTGGCCCGAGCCAGTGCCTCCACTCCGACCTCCGCCGCCACCACTACCACCGCTCCGACCGGCACCGCCACCACCGCCACCACCGCCACCGCCACCGCCACCGCCGCCGCCGCCACTACTGCCACTGCTTCCTCCGCCGCCCCCGTCTCCACCACCGACCCCACTCCCACCAGCGCTCCCGCCACCGCTCCCTCCAGCACCGCCTCCCCCCCCACCTCCCCCACCTCCTCCCCCCCCAGCGCCACCACCACCACTTTTGCCCCCCTTGCCCTTGCCGGTGCGGCGCCTCCCACCAGGAGTAGAAGCAGCGCCAACAGACTCAGCACCAAGGAAGTCAACAGCAGCAGCAGCAGCGTAGGAGGGAGCGAGGGGAGAGGGAGAACACCCCTCAAAGATGGGGGTGCGAGGAGCGCCACGAGCAGCACCGACAGCTACAATGCTCTTTTCGGCCGCGAGCAGGTGCTCCTCTAGGAGGGCGACTGTGAGCTCAGTGGGACAGCGAGCAAGGAAGTGGTCTCGAACTGAGCGGAGGGTGTCAGGGAGACGGGTGACTATGAAGTGGAGTGTCCAGTACAGTGGAGGGGGGTTCTTAGCGCAGAACTCGGTGGGAAGGGCGGCACGCAGGCGAGCATCACTAGTGCGAAGGTGGGTGATAAGATCGGCGACTGTAGTAAAGGTGGACAGATCGGGGAACAGGTACGGCAGCATGAGGCGGCTAAGCTCGGCTGTGGCAGGCGAGGAGTAGCGAGCGACGACAGCGTCGTACAGGGCCTTAGCGGATTTGCAGTCGCCAAAATGCTCTAGCTCAGCTAACGGCAGGTGACTGCGAATGGCTAGGCGAGCAGCTGCGTCACGAGTCTGCCAGTGGGAACGAACACTAAGCTCAGCTGTGGCAGGAGGGGCAGGCGCAGCACCAGACGCGTAATCATAGAGCGACACATGCTCCTTGCTATCGCTCAGGAGGAACAGCTGCAGGTCATCTAGCCAAGCGGTGAACCGCACAGGGCGGCCCTCAGCATCGAACGACAGCACGCGGATGGAAGCCATAGCGACAGTGTGACAGAGTAACGCAAGCTGCCGCAGCAGGGGAAGGCGACTGTGCACGGATAGAGAGCAGCGGGCGAGGCTGGCGCTACGGGCAGGCGGCGCTGCAAGCGGTCAGCGCGACGGGAGGGCGACGCTGCGAGCGGGCAGCGCGGCGGACGGGCCGGGAAGCGGGCAGCGCGGCGGGCAGGCGGCGCTGCAAGCGGGCAGCACGGCGGGCGGGCGACGCTGCGAGGCGGGCGGGCCGCGAAGCGGGCAGCGGGCGGGCGGGCGGGCTGCGAAGCGGGCAGCGGGGCGAGCGGGCTGCGATGCGGGCGGGCCGCGAAGTGGGCAGCTAGCGGGCGGGCGGGCTGCGAAGTGGGCGGGCCGCGAAGCGGGCAGCGAGCGGGCGGGCGGGCTGCGAGCGGGCGGCTCGGCGAGGGGCGCGCGAGGGCGCTAGTGAGGGGCGCGCGAGGGCGCTAGCAAGGGGCGCGCGAGGGCGCTAACGAAGGGGCGCGCGAGGGCGCTAACGAAGGGGCGCGCGAGGGCGCTAACGAGGGTGCGCGCGAGGGCGCTAACGAGGGCGCGCGAGGGCGCTAACGTGGGCGCACGAGGGCGCTACGAGGCTAGGGCACGGGGTAGCGTGGTAACCGCATGCGAGCGGTGGTGGGCCCTTAAAAAAACGGTCGGTAGGTCCTAGGGACCTCCTGCTCTGAATACCATGTCAGAATCACTAGGCAAGAATGAGATGAACTAACAGAAGTTTGGGTACAAATATGAAACCCTAGTTGGGGTTGTACCCCATATTGGCTACCCCACTACAGCCTACAAGCATAATACAGTTTAACAGTTTGGTCACATATGAAATTTCCAGTCGAAAAATGCAGCTACTTGTGTCACTGTTCAAATTTAGGGGACATATTATCGCGCGCGTCGTTTTGTCCGTAATATTGCGAGGCACTGTTACTTACGAAATAATTCAGCAACCAATCTCGTTAACTCGCTACAAACGTAACCAGTTTCTCATCAACATCAGAAAGTTAGCTCGTTGGGCATTGTTTACTGTTCAGTTGTCCAGTGTTTGATTGATGCATATGTCCCCTAAAGAATATAACTTTTAGATAGGTAAAACTTGAAGGTTATTTCTGCTCATAAGAAAAAAAACTAAAACCCTTTTCAGACGGGGTTTCCTTTGGGAGGCATCAACCCTAAACACATTCTCGCAAAGTGTTTAGGGTTGATGCCTCTCGAAGGGCGTGCCATCCTTTAGGATTTTTTTTTCTTCAGTCCCCTAAATGTCAAGCTAGAACCCTGCGTGAGGTAACAAGCAATCAAAACTGGGATTCCCCCAAATCTCTACAGTTTCTGTTTCAATTTTATTATGCTTGTTACATCGAGTGACCAAACGTGGTAGCTTTTCCAGGCGCAGTGTGACCATCTGTGATAACACTGTGATTACCCGCGATAGAAATGTACTGTATTGTGACTGTTCGTGATACCTCTGTGAGCAGACGTAATAGAACGGGCAAACTTGAGACTGTCCGTATATTTTTCACTTTTCGGTGGGGTTTTTAGTTGATCCCACACTGTTACTGAAACTATACCCCAAAAGACTGTCGCCTCTTGCGCACTGTTACTGCCCACTTTTCGCTTGTGAGATTTCTACGCATGAAAATGTTCAATGGTCAAAATGTAGACGGACTGAAAACTCCACTCGGATTGACGGCCATAAACTAATTGCACCTGATTTTTGGCAAAAAAACATATATTACCCAATCCTGATGGCATGCTCTTTAAGAAGTCATCGACACTAATACTGTGCGCAACTGTTTAGGGTTGATGCCTTTTGCAACAGGATTTATACATTTTTTATGGCTACCATCGAGGGAAGCATCAAACCTAAACACCATGTGAATGGGTGTTTAGGATTGATACCTTCAATATATGGGCTGGACAAAATGTTAAACACCAGAGTGGGTTATACTGGTTTCTCTTACATAGTGGGTTTTGTTATCAGAGATGTAGGACAATGAGCATCGTAACACCGCCGCGGAAGTGATGGAACTCTGTGTTCCTTACTTAGTGCCCCTTCGTATTGCGTACCGGACTATTCTCGCCAATAGTATCAAAGGATGCACCATTACCCCGCCTACTGTTCCCGCCATTGTTCACATCGCAACCCAACCTTACAGCTTGGTTGGTACCCCGCGCCGAGGTTGGTATCCCAGCCTTGGAGTTAGGCTTGGATCGCACTCCAATTTCGCATGTTACCGTTATCATGGTAACTACAATATAAATTCTTTGCTCATTCCTTCGCTCAATGTATAGTTATGCTTCGATAGTGCAAAACTCACTCGCTCGCTCAAAGGCACTCATAAGTCTTGGCATCCAGAGCCACGAACCTTTTCGGACCGCGCCCACACCTTCGCTTCCTTATTATCTCAATTTTTGAAGGGAGTTGACGTCCCTCAGCGACCAAGCACTGTCGTAATAACAGACTGGGATCGCTGTGTTAAACTGTATTATGCTTGTAGGCTGTAGTGGGGTAGCCAATATGGGGTACAACCCCAACTAGGGTTTCATATTTGTACCCAAACTTCTGCTAGTTCATCCATTCTTGCCTAGTTATTCTGAAATGGTATCAGAGCAGGAGGTCCCTAGGACCTACCGACCGTTTTTTTTAAGGGCCCACCACCGCTCGCATGCGGTTACCACGCTACCCCGTGCCCTAGCCTCGTAGCGCCCTCGTGCGCCCTCGTTAGCGCCCTCGCGCGCCCCTCGTTAGCGCCCTCGCGCGCCCCTCGTTAGCGCCCTCGCGCACCCTCGTTAGCGCCCTCGCGCGCCCCTCGTTAGCGCCCTCGCGCGCCCCTTGCTAGCGCCCTCGCGCGCCCCTCGCTAGCGCCCTCGCGCGCCCCTCGCAGCGTCGCCCGCCCGCCGAGCCGCCCGCTCGCAGCGTCGCCCGCCCGCCACGCTGCCCGCTCGCCCCTCGCCCGCCGCGCTGCCTGCTCGCAGCGTCGCCCGCTCGCCCCGCTGCTCGCAGCGTCGCCCGCCCGCCCGCTGCCCGCTTCGCAGCGTCGCCCGCTCGCTCGCTGCCCGCTCGCAGCGTCGCCCGCCCGCCCGCTGCCCGCTCGCAGCGTCGCCCTCCCGCCTCGCTGCCCGCTTGCAGCGTCGCCCGCCCGCCCGCTGCCCGCTTGCAGCGTCGCCCGCCCGCCCGCTGCCCGCTTCGCAGCCGCCCGCCGCGCTGCCCGCTCGCCGCGTCGCCCGCCCGCCCCGCTGCCCGCTTCGCAGCCCGCCCGCCGCACTTCCCGCCTGCAGCGCCGCCCGCCTCGCCTGCTGCTCCCTGCCTGTGCACCGCCGCTTGCTCCTGCTGTGGCTGCTAGCTTCGCTCTAGCGCGTCCCCTCTGCTGCTGCCGCTGCTCTGCTGTGCCCTCACGCCTGAGCTATGGCCTCTATTCGCGTTCTTTCCTTCGATGCTGAGGGCCGTCCCGTGCAGTTCACTTCCTGGCTCGACGACCTGCAGTTGTATCTTATGAGCAATAGCACGGACCACATCTCCCTCTATGACTACGCGTCTGGTGCTGCCGCTGCTCCTGCTGCCACAGCCGAGCTTAGTGTACGTTCACAGTGGCAGACTCGTGACGCTGCAGCTCGCCTGGCTATTCGCAGTCACCTGCCGTTAGCTGAGCTAGAGCACTTTGGCGACTGCAAAACCGCTAAGGCCCTATACGACGCTGTCGTTGCTCGCTACTCCTCACCTGCCACAGCCGAGCTTAGCCGTCTCATGCTGCCTTACCTGTTCCCTGACCTGTCCACCTTTGCTACAGTCGCCGATCTTATCACCCACCTTCGCACTAGTGATGCTCGCCTGCGTGCCGCCCTTCCCACCGAGTTCTGCGCTAAGAACCCCCCTCCCCTGTACTGGGCACTCCACTTCATAGTCACCCGTCTCCCTGACACCCTCAGCTCAGTGCGCGACTATTTCCTTGCTCGCTGTCCCACTGAGCTCACTGTCGCCCTCCTAGAGGAGAAGCTGCTAGCAGCCGAGAAGAGCATTGTAGCTGTTGGTGCTGCTCGCGGCGCTCCTCGCACCCCCATCTTTGAGGGGTGCTCTCCCTCTCCCCTCGCTCCCTCCTATGCTACTGCTGCTGCTGTTGACTTCCTTGGTGCTGAGTCTGCTGGCGCTGCTTCTGCTCCTGGTGGGAGGCGCCGCACCGGCAAGGGCAAGGGGGGCAAGGGTGGCGGGGGTGGCGCTGGGGGGGGAGGGGGTGGGGGAGGTGGGGGGGGAGGCGGTGCTGGAGGGAGCGGTGGCGGGAGTGCCGGTGGGAGTGGGGCCGGCGGCGGAGGCGGGGGCGGCGGCGGGAGCAGTGGCGGTGGTGGCAGCGGCGGCAGTGGCGGCGGTGGCGGCAGTGGCGGTGGCGGTGGCGGTGGTGGCGGTCGGAGCGGAGGTAGTGGCGGCGGTGGAGGTCGGAGTGGAGGCACCGGCTCGGGCCAGAGCTCCCAGCAGCAGCAGCGTCCCCAGTCGACCCAGCAGCTTCGTGAGTGGCTTGCTCAGCGTGGGACGTCGGGGGGCAGTGGCCGCTGTTCCTATGTCATTCGCACAGGTGATCGCAAGGGGCAGACGTGTGGAAAGTTCCACACTCAGTACCGCTGCTTCTTCCGCCTTGACGACGCTTGGCGTGAGGAGATGGGCGAGGATGTTGAGCGCCCTCGCTGGGCTGAGCTGATGAGGGCTGGTGTTGATATCTTTGCTCTTGACTATGATGCTATTATTGCTGCCATGTATGCATTGACTGTTAGTGCCGAGGGAGACTGTTACTTGTGTGTGCCGCCTGACCCAGGTATAGGGCCCGCTGCCCTAGGTACTAGTGAGTCTGCTCTCTCTGGTATGGTGCCCCCTGTACCTGCTCCCTCCAGCACTGTCCCTGCTGCTTGCGAGTCTGCTCTCTCAGGTACAGCACCCACAGAGACTGCTCTCTCAGGTACTGCACCGGCTGAGACCTGTCACACCTTCACCCTTGACTCAGGTGCTTCCCGCTGCTTCTTTCGAGACAGTACTGAGCTCACACCGCTTCCTGCACTGGTCCCAGTCTCCTTGGCTGACCCCTCTGGGGGCCCAGTCCTTGCCCAGTCCACCACTGTGCTCCCTTGTCCGGCGGTTCCGTCTGGCTCGTTGACGGGTTTCCACCTCCCCTCGTTCTCGACGAACCTGGTGAGCAACGCTGTCATCCAGGATCAGTGGGTTGACACCTTTACCCCTGGAGGACAGCGTGTGGCGATCTGCACGTGCTCCAGGACCGGCCGTCACCTGGCTACGTTTACTCGTCGGCCGGGGTCGAGTCTCTACACACTGACCACTGCGTCTCCTCAGGTCGCTGCTGTCGGTCAGGTGTCCGCGTCAGGTCTGGTGGCCCACGCCTGTGAGTGTCGTTCCCTGTCGCACCAGACTCTTCTCTGGCACCACCGCCTGGGTCACCCCTCCTTGCCACGCCTCCGTGGCATGCACCATCGCCACCTTGTCTCTGGTCTTCCCAGGGTTCTCCCTCCCCTCCCTGCCTCGCCTGCGCCGCCTTGCCTTCCTTGCGTCGAGGGGCGGCAGCGCGCCGCTCCTCACTCCTCCTCGTTCCCCCCGACAGAGGCTCCTCTGCAGACCCTCCACCTGGACGTGTGGGGCCCAGCCCGCGTTCGTGGTCAGGGCGGTGAGCGGTACTTTTTGCTGGTTGTCGACGACTACTCGCGTTACACCATGGTCTTCCCCTTGCGCACCAAGGGTGAGGTCCCTGCTGTTCTGATCCCTTGGATCCGCACAGTTCGTCTCCAGCTCCGCCGCCGTTTCCGGACGGATCTTCCTGTCCTGCGTCTGCACTCTGACCGAGGTGGTGAGTTTTCCTCCGACCTCTTGAGGACCTTCTGTCAGGCGGAGGGCATCGAGCAGACCTTCACGCTTCCGGACTCCCCACAGCAGAATGGGGTTGCTGAGCGCCGCATTGGCCTGGTCATGGAGGTCGCTCAACCTCTGGCCCCGTGTCTCCTTGCCGGAGACCTCGCCCACACTGCGTTGGACGGGGGAGGTTGGCGATGCGTCGCGCTTCCGGGTGTGGGGTGCTCGTGCCCTTGTCCGCGATACGTCCGCGGACAAGCTCTCCTCCCGCACGCTTCCCTGTGTCTTCCTTGGCTTTGTCCCTGACGCGCCGGGCTGGCAGTTTTACCACCCCACCTCGCGCCGGGTCTTCGCCTCTCAGGACGTCACCTTTGACGAGTCGGTCCCTTTTTACCGTCTCTTCCCCTACCGTACTGCCCCCCTCCCTCCCCCGCCGCTTTTCCTTGCTCCTGGTCCCCCTCCGGTAGACCCCCTTCCCCCTCAGGGTCCTGCTCCTTCAGGTGTCTCTCAGGTCGACCCTCCTCCCGTCGCTGAGCCTGTCGAGGTCACAGGTGACTCAGGTGCTGCTGCAGGTGGTGCTGCTGGGAGTGCTGAGCCTGCGGGTGCTGGGCCTGGGGGTGCTGGGACTACGGGTGCTGGAGCTGAGGGTACTGTGCCTGAGAGTTCGGCGCCTGGGGGTACTGAGCCTGGGGGTGCTGCGACTGGGGGTGCTGAGCCTGCGTGTGCGGAGTCTGGGGGTGCTGAGTCTGGGGGTGCTGCGCCTGCGGGTACTGAGCCTGGGGGTGCTGCTACTGAGCCTACGGAGCCTCGGGTTGCTGCGTCTGGGGGTGCTCCGGTTCGGGGTGCTGAGCAGTCTCTCACACCACAGCAGCTTCGTGACTGGTACGTCCGGCGCTTTCGCCGTCCTAGTGGCTCGGCTGGAGCTGGGGGTACTGGAGCTGCCGGGACTGGTTGTTCTGGGAGCACTACGACTGGAGCTGCTGGAGCTGGGGACTCTGGAGCTGGCGGCGCTAGCGGAGTTGTAGCTGCCGACTCTGGGGGTGCTCTTCCTTGCGGTGCTGCGGACCCTGGGGGTGGTGCTGCTGCTGGTGCTGCGGACCCACCTGGTGGAGCTGCTGCTGGAGCTGAGGACCCGAGCGGTGGCGCTGCTGCTGGTGCTGGGGACCCGGACGCTGGAGTCTCTTCTGCTTCTGGAGACGCTGCGCGGCCGCGGCCGTACTTCGTACCGCTCCTTCAGCAGGTTCTTGGGCAGGCTCCTCCTCCTTGTCCTCCTCCCTCCGTAGAGTGTCCTCCGACTGTCCAGCCGCAGTCACAGTTACCGCCTGCCTCGCCTCTCCCTGCTCCCTCTCCTTACACTGGTCCCACAGGAGGTCTTACAGAGCGTCGTGAGCCTGAGTCTCGTCCTGCGTCGCCTGTCCGTACTGCTCGCACTGGTCGTCGTGTCCGTCGTGAGCGTCCTCCTCCTGTCCCAGGCACTCACTACATGACTCTGCGTCCCTCTACTGCTCCTCAGCGTGTCCCTCTGCCGTCTCCTCCTGCGTCCTCTTTGCCTGCTGTTCCGGACCCTGAGTCTGACCGGTATCGTGCTGAGCACCCTACTGTCACGCGTCTCCTAGCTACTATTGTCACTGACCCTACCTTTGAGTCCTCGGCTGCGTCTGCTCTGGTCGCTGAGTTGGTTGACTTTGCTGCTGCCTGTCGTCTAGACTACGCTGCTCGCCTTGTTGCTGGGTCTGAGTCTGCGTCTGTCTGTCCTCCGTCCGTCGGGGGTGAGTGTGCTCTTGGCACGGACGTCCTTGAGGACAGGCAGGAGGACTTTGACTCTCTCGCGGCTGCTGTACCTCATCTCGTGGCCTGGTTGCTTGCCCCTGAGGGAGACCCGGATGCACTAGACATCCCCACTCCGCGCACTTACGCAGAGGCGATCTCGGGTCCCTACTCCTCTCAGTGGCAGACAGCCATGGACGCAGAGATGGCATCCTGGAAGTCCACAGGCACCTACGTCGACGAGGTTCCCCCTCCTGGGGCGAACATCGTCGATGGCATGTGGATTTTCAGGGTGAAGCGGCCGCCAGGTTCTCCGCCTGTCTTCAAGGCTCGTTACGTTGCTAGAGGCTTCAGTCAGCGACAGGGAGTCGACTTCTTCCAGACCTTCTCCCCCACCCCGAAGATGACCACTCTTCGGGTTCTGCTGCACGTTGCTGCTCAGCGTGACTACGAGCTTCACTCTCTTGACTTCAGCACAGCGTTCCTGCAGGGCAGCCTGCACGAGGAGATCTGGCTGCGCCGCCCACCTGGCTTTACTGGGTCGTTTCCTCCTGGTACCCAGTGGAGCCTCCGCCGGCCAGTCTACGGTCTCCGCCAGGCGCCACGCGAGTGGCACGACACACTGAGGACTACACTTGCGGCTCTTGGGTTCGCGCCGTCTACTGCTGACCCGTCGCTGTTTCTGCGCACAGACACGTCGCTGCCGCCGTTCTACATTCTCGTGTACGTCGACGACTTGGTCTTTGCTACTGCTGACACTGAGGCACTCGCTCGTGTGAAGTCGGAGCTGCAGAAGAGACACACCTGCACTGACCTGGGTGAGCTGCGTAGCTACCTTGGCTTGCAGATCACCCGGGACAGAGCTCGCCGCACCATCACCCTGACTCAGTCACACATGGTGCAGCAGGTCCTTCAGCGCTTCGGCTTCCAGTTCTCCTCACCACAGGCCACACCTCTGGCTACCAGCCACTCGCTCTCAGCTCCACCTCCGGACGAGTCCGTAGAGCCGAGTGGCCCGTACCCAGAGCTTGTGGGCTGCCTCATGTACCTGATGACTTGCACGCGACCTGACCTCGCGTACCCTCTTAGCATCCTTGCTCGTTACGTTGCGCCTGGGAGACACAGGCGAGAGCACTGGGAGGCTGCTAAGAGGGTGCTGCGCTACTTGTGCAGTACATCAGGCATGGGGCTGGTGCTTGGAGGACGCGACAGAGTTGTCCTCACTGGCCACTCGGACGCTTCTTGGGTGGACGACCTGGCTACGCAGCGGTCGTCACAGGGTTACACCTTCAGTCTCGTGGCGGTCCACCCGCTCTTCCTCTGTTCTTGGCTCTAGTTGTGAGGCTGAGATCTACGCCACAGCCATGGCTGCACAGGAGTTACGCTGGCTCACCTACCTGCTGACTGACTTGGGAGAGCGGCCTAGTTCTCCTCCAGTTCTGTACGGTGACAACAAGGCGGCTCTTGCCTTGTGTCAGGAGCACAGACTGGAGCACAGGACGAAGCACATTGCTCTTCGCTACTTTCTTGCTCGAGAGCTTCAGCAGCGCGGTCAGCTTCGGCTTGTGTACGTGGACTCGAAGGCCAACACTGCTGATATCTTCACCAAGGCGCTCCCGCCTAGTGATCATCAGCGGCACTGTACTTCTTTAGGCCTTGTGTCCACGTTTCCTCACTTACTCACTGCTTGACATTCTTTGTACTGTACTTTATATATATCTTGTTGCTTGCTTGCTAGGTTTTGATCATTGTGTTGCTTGTCTTGTACTATATCTAGCACTGCATGTGAACTGGCCTTGTGGCCTTTACTTGTGCTCGGAGTGTGGTGACGTTGTGATCCACCCTGGGCTTTGCTTTGCTTTGCTGGACTGGTCTTGTGACCCTTTGTTCTCCCCCACTTTGCCTATGGGGGTGTGTTAAACTGTATTATGCTTGTAAGCTGTAGTGGGGTAGCCAATATGGGGTACAACCCCAACTAGGGTTTCATATTTGTACCCAAACTTCTGCTAGTTCATCCATTCTTGCCTAGTTATTCTGAAACGCTGTACTAACAGAAGGCTGGATACAAATAGGAAACCCTAATCCAGTGTACCCCCTAAGGCGTAACCCACTACAGCCTACAACCATATAAACATATAATGTTTGACACACCCCCATAGGCGAAGTGGGGAGACCGTGGGATCACACGACCAGTCAGGGCAAAGCAAGGCAAAGCAAGCTCAGGGTGGATCTCGAGGATTCCACACAAATTCCGAGCACAAGCTAGTGGTCACAAGACCAGTTCACATGCAGGTTTATAACAGAGCAAGAGATACAGTGATCACAACCTAGCAAGAGTAAACATGCAGGTATATATATATAGTGATCACAGTACAAGCAAAGTCAAGAGGTAAGCAAGTGAGGTCCAGTAGGCACAAGGCCTAGTAGAGTGCAGAAGCGCTGATGGTCACGAGGCTGAAGCGCCTTGGTGAACACATCAGCAGTGTTGGCCTCAGTGGCCACGTAGCGAATACAAAGCTGACCACGCTGCTGCAACTCTCGAGCAAGGAAGTACCGCAGGGCGATGTGCTTCGTTCTGTGCTCCAGTCTGTGCTCCTCA